ACCAACTTCTTGGATCGTGACTCACTCGGTGGTTTGGCCGTCGCCATCCGTGACTTCAAGGGTGGTGTCGTCATGATCTCCCACAACGAAGAGTTCGTTGGAGCCCTGTGCCCGGAGCAGCTGCACATTGCGGACGGCCGCATCGTCGCTCGCACCAACACTGCCATCGCCGCGGACCGGTTCGAGGACAGTGCCGCCTCCAGTCCGCAGCCCGGTAGCACAGCTGCCAACTCTGCGGTTAACAGCGCCGCCGCCTCGGCCGTCAACTCGGGCGCCGAGGACCAGGGCGAGCTCAAGTTCAAGGCCAAGAAGAAGAAGAAGATGACCCGTGCGCAGTTGAAGGAGCGTGAGACTCGTCGCCGTCTTCGCCATATCGAGTGGTACGTTCTCTTCCTTTCTTAGATTTCTGCTTATACGAACTAAAGCTGACCTTACAACAGGCTCAACAGTCCCAAGGGAACTCCGAAGCCCGCCGACACCGACGATGAGGCGGAATAGAATGGCTGTTGCTTCACTTTGGAACGATTGCATGATGATTCTACGTAATGTTCTGGGATAGACGGTGTTTGTTATCTGTTAGTCTTATATATACCTATAGACTTTATTTCACGGCTGCGTTTTAGTTGCCTTTCTTCTTAATTTACTCTTTTTCGAGTCGTCATAACCGTACAGTCGTATCCCTGCCCCAGAACCTGGACCTTCTATGCTCACGAAGTGTCCGATATACTAGGGAGATCTTCGCTCAGACGCACGCGCCTCTGTCGGCGAAAGGTTGCTTCCTTATTTATGTTTAATTGAAGGCTATAGATTGGAGAGTAGTGCCACAGCACCTTTCAGTAAGCAAACTCATTTGCCATGGATCCCACTACAACTTCCTCTCCCCATCTACCTTACCATTATTCTACCTACCTAGGTACCCGCCTTGGCTTTCCGGTTCCCCACTGCTGCATCTCATCCACCTACGAGGTACCTTACCTCTGCGGAAGTATTTCGCTATCTCAAAGGCACCTACCTAGGGTACGTCTGTCCGACGCTCCCTTCCTAGATGAGGTACTAGGTACCCTCGGGACGCAGGTCCCCACCCCTTTAACGCCCAAAGCTGCTAAGACCGAGATTCCACGAACGATTACTATAGTTGGATGAAGGCGCAAGAAGCGAGGACTTCGAACGGAAAAGAGAGAGCCCTGCATGAATCCACCTGCTAGTAGTAATACTTGGTAGATAGGTTGGTTAAGCTACGCCTGCATAACAAGGGTACTATTGACCCCCCAGCCATTCTCCGTCGAATAAGCATCAATGGGCGTCGTCCCATGCAACACCTCATAATGCACTCTCCCACAATCCCTCCCCCCATCTTCAAGGTTTCCTCCTCCACCACTACCACCACACTCCCCGTCGCCCCGCTGCAACAACGCCGCAACCTGCTCCCCGGCCTCCCTCCCCTCGAACCACGCACCATGCAAGAACCCAAAATACGGCGCGCTCGTCGCCTCCCCGGCAAACCAGAGCCGGCCGACATTCGCCCGCAGGTTCTGGTGCATCTCCAGCGTCGTCCCTGCCGGCCAATTCGAGTAGCTCCCGTACGCCCAGGACTCCGTGGACCAGCGCGGGTAAGCGAACGCGATCGGCTCCGGGATGGTCCTGTCCGGGAACATCTCGCGGAGGACGGCGAGGATTTCCCGCCTGGTCTCGGCGTCCGGTTGGCGCTCGACACGATAAGCTTGGGGGCCGACGACGGTGACGAAGAGGATGTTGGAACCGGGCAGGAAGCCCGCTGTCGAGAGCGACTGGAAGACCGGGTAGTAGCCGCGGGTTGTCGGGGAGGCGTACAGGAGGAACTGCGTGTGCGGGGGCCAGAAGGTCTCGGAGAACTGCATGAAGATCTTGGTGTAGGTGGCCATGGTGAATTTGTGGATGGCCGTCTGCTTCCAGGCCGGGAGGGCGGGGGAAAACGCGACGGCGTCGTTCTGGAGCACGCCGAGCGAGAAGGTGCAGATTGCGTACGCGGCGCTGATGCAGGTGCCGTCGGTGTTGCGGATGATCACGCCCTCGGGGCTGTGCTCGATTGTCGAGACGATTGTGTTGAGACGCAGGCGTGGGTCGTCGTTGTTCGCTTCGAGGAAGGTGTCCGCCTCACCTTGGATGATGGCGGAGTAGCCACGCGCGTCGAGGACGAGGTTGTTCTCGTCGCCGAACTGGTGGAAGGTTAGGTTCTCGCCGGCGATGCCAAAGACGAACGAGCTTGTTTCCGGTGAGGAGGCGCCCTCCCAATCTGGCGTCTCGTGTTAGTGGTCCACGTTTACTATACTGTATACAGTCTCATGGACAGGTTCAAGGTAGGTAGGTAGGGCTCTCTGCAACCCTTCTGGTCAGGTCCATACCCCAGTTCCACCATTCCACGGCCTGTGCGGCCATATCGTCGTGGCGCGGTCTCCAGCCGGCGAGCGCCAGGCCGGAGCGCGCCGTCATGTCTTGCAGGTTCACGTTGAGGATTTGGCCGGCATGCAGGGACGCGGTCTTTCTGGCTTGGGAGTACTCGTCGAGGACGTGGCTGTAGTTCGAGTACCCGGTTTCATTGTACGTGAGGATGGACTCGTAATCCGAGTAGGTGTTTCTCAGCCCGTGCTTTTTGGCCTGGTCGAGAGGGTGAGACGATAATCTTTCAGGGTGTAAACTCCCAGCTCACCAGTCTCCAGACGGGGTTCTCGACTCTCTCAGATCCCAGCCCCTGTATCTGCGTCTGTTAGCTGGGCCTACTTATATGGTGCCTTTAAAGTAGTTACCCAATTCGCCCCGAATTCGACAACATACGGATCCCCATTCGCGTCCTTTCCGAAATCCGTATGCCAAACCCTTCCCCCGAGGGTGTCTCTATACTCGACGATGATGAAATCCGTCACCGAAGCGTTGGCCAGCGCTTGCTATGATCGTTGAGCATCAGTCAGCCCAGTCAAGCCCACTGCAGACTAGGCCGGGACAGAAAAAAAAACAAACCGCAGCAGTGACTCCGGCCACCCCACCTCCGCTATACATGACCATAGGTATCCAGCCCGTTAGTCTACGTTTTCCTTCCCAGGTAAGGTAAGGTAGTTGTTGGTTCGCAGAGGGTTAGGGGACGAAACAGAGCACACCTACAGGATGGCTACGGAAGTCCTGCTACAGTGGGGATCATATAAAAGGGCTTTGGCGACATGGCAGGCACCGAGCTGGAATGAGCCGGCGAGAGTGAAGAAGAGAGGTGTGAGATGCATTGAGGGTGGGTTGATAGCATAGGTAGCAAGAATCACAAGAGTTCCGGAGAGTCTACACGTGCTAGGTGCAGTGCCCTACCTTATATATCTATATCTACTGGTGCGACTAGTGCTGTAGTAAGCAAGCAGGTCATCCTGAATGCATGGACGTGATGTGATGTCTTTGATAAGGACGGCCGTGTGATCATCAGCTCTGCTTGGCGCGGGTATTGTATTGCATACATAAGATAAAGCAACGCAAGGAGGACCGAGTCAGTGAAACTGGAATCTGAAAAAGGAAAGTCCAATCGAGGCCTGTGGACCCATGGATATGCAGTTCAGGGCTTGTTGATTTGTTGTACAGTGCAACATTCATTGTCCTGCATTGGGGCGTAGACAGGGCGACGAATAGAGACTGGCGCTCGGTAGGTTCAAAGCTGAAGCTGGAGCTGGGCCTTGTTTGAGTTTCCGCATGGACATTCCTGATCTTCTTCAGTTGCTTTGTCGGCCTATCAGAAAGCAATATGTCTGGCGATCTTAGCATGGATGTACAAGGTCGAACATAATACAATAATGGAATACTTGAGTGAAACTTGACCATCCCCCACAATCCCCGGGAGATCATCAATTATACTGTATTGGATTGTTTACCCACATTGAACCAACGCCTTACCGCGCAGACCTGCGCCCGCTAACGCCGAATAGTACCGTACACAAAACCAGATTGTCGTAGCTCATCATGATAAATAAAAAAGAAAAGATAGAAAAGAAAGAAAGGGCACCCCCAGTAGCCCGGACTTCAATCTTGCAGCCAGCTGAACAAGACCATGAAGCAAAATACTCCTAACTCCAATAGGATAGAAGCAGAGGCAGAGGCAGAGGCAGAATTCACCGGACCTCATACGCCTCCATTGCTTTTTGAAGATCGTCGACGTTATCCTTGTACCCGTAGGCATCCATGAGCTGTTGGTTTTTCCGTAGCCGCTCCTGCTCGGCGATCTGGTAGGAAGCAAACGAGTCCATCTTCATCGGTCCCTGGTTAGAAATTCCGTAACCTGCGTCGTTAGCAGGCTGTAGGCGGTGGATGATATGATCGTAGGAATTACCGATGATGATGGCCGCGATGACGGGGAGGGACCTGTATATCGTAAGCAATTTAGCATATACATCGTCGGATGGATTGAATTGGATTTTGTGCAGGATATCAAGAGGAAAGTGTTTAGGGAGCCATACCAGCGACCGAATCGGATGGGACGGAGAAAGGCAGGACGCTTCCAGGAAGGACGCTGCGGGGAATGAGGGGCGGAGGAGAGTTCGGGTTGCATTGTTTCGGACTGTTTTTGGTTGATAGTCGTAGTCTTGATTCGGTTGATATTATTGTTGGTATATGTATTCTTATTGAAGAGAAACCAGAGAACCAGAGAAAGAGGCAAGGGAGGTAAGGGTTGCTTTAATAAGTTGGGACCTTTTTTGGAGGCCCCAGTGATGGCATGATTCCCAATCAGATGATCCCCTATTACCATGAAAAGGAGGGCAGTGCATCCATGTCTCCGATGGAGGGAGCGGAGATGGATAGATCCGTGCGGCACTGAAGCTGATTCGGTGCTAGTCAGCTAGCTACAGTCCTAGACTGCGACCGGAAACCTGGGGAATCGCCGATGATCCTGACATCACCTAAAGTGCCGAAAACCGGATATATCCCAACTGCCGATCGATTAGTGGTGCGAACCGAGTAATGAAGCAGCAAAAGAAAAAGAAACAAAAAAGACACGACAAGACTGAGATTCGAACTCAGGTCCCCGAAGGGACTGCATTTCGAGTGCAGCGCCTTAACCGCTCGGCCATCTTGCCTATTAATAATACACATTTTTGCCTGTTTAGCCTGATTAAACTAGAGACCGTCTTTAAGGGAAAGCATCCATGAGCAGGCACCGTTGATCTCGGGAGCAGAAGGCTCCAATCCAAGATTTTGGTCAACCGCCGAGCCTTTCTGCTTGGACGGACGCTCCCAATTTCAATAATTGCATCGCGTCATTTTGGCATTTCAAGTAACTATAACCCTAGGTTTACGCCACAGATCCTGCATCACCCTCAACAATATATCGCTTGCAAGCCTCCGTGGAGGGACAAGGGAGTGGGTGGATTATTACATGCTGTGTGGGGAGGGTAACTGGTCTGTGGGCATTTTGTCTCTGGGGTTTGCGTCAGAGGTGAGTGGGATAGACGTGGTTCTCATGAGAATTGGTGCTCTTGAGGAATATATATATGTGTCGGAAAGGGAGGGATGGTAAGGAATCAATTCTAGCATGGACGATACACTTTCTCCATTCTATCCTTTAATCCGTAGCAAGAATTAATGTCCCTGGTTCTGGGGAGCGGCAGTGGCCGGACCCTCAGGTGTCACGTACGCCTGTCATAGTCAGCAGCGTCACTTTGATAGCTAGGAGTAATGCATACCTTAGTCATGCCACCGTCAACAACAAAGTCCGAACCATTGACAAAGCTGCTCTCGTCACTGGCAAGGAAAACAACAGCATGAGCTTGCTCAATAGCCTCGCCAAATCGACCCATAGGAAAGTGCACCTCGCGGCGGTGACGCTTTGGCTGGTCATCGCCCAGCCAGTCCTGCAGGAGAGGAGTACTACGCCATTAGCATTCCGTTTGATAACATCAAGCAAGATAACGGGTGGTAAAGGACATACTTCAAAGGCGCGGGACACAACGCATTAAATCTGATCCCCTCTCTCGCATGCACAATCGCCAACTCTCTCGTCAGCGCCAAAACAGCCCCCTTGGACGCCGTGTACGCCAACTGCGGCGTCGCACTCCCCACGAGCGCAACCACACTCGCCGTGTTAATGATACTGCCGCGGCTCTTCTTGTGCTTCCGCATACTCAACACGGCATGCTTGCAGCCAAACCACACGCCCTTGACGTTGATATTGTGAGTCAAGTCCCAGATCTTCTCGGGGGTGTCGATGGCGTCTGCATCGTCGGCGTGCATGATGCCCGCATTGTTGAAGATCACGTCCGTCCCGCCCCAGCTGTCCTGGGACTCGACCATGGCTTGCACGTCGGATTCCTTGGAGACGTCGCATTTGATGGTTTCGACGCGGGGCGCCGTGGGGACAACCTCCTTCACCTTGGCCAGGGCTTTCTCGAGAGCTGGCTCGGAGATATCGGCCATGAGAACGTTGGCACCTTCGCGTGCGAAGAGGATACTAGTTTCCAGGCCGATTCCGCTGATAAGGTTAGCATTGATCATATCTGAGGGTAGATGTGTATGTGGATGTACCCAGCGGCACCGGTGATGATGGCATTCTTGCCTTGGAGACGACCTCTGGGAACAGCCATTGTGTATCGGCTTTGAGAATGGAAAATAAACGGGCAGGGATTAATGAGTCAAGGATGTTAGGCTGAGGAGGGGAGAGAGTTGAGACAGGGGTATCTAACAGCAGTGCGGGGCAAAAGTGGAAGCAACTTATCTAAGATAAGCTCCGCTCCACGGCCACGGCCACCTCAACACCAACTTCGCTCTTGCATCCTAGGTAAGTTGTCCTGCAAATTTGTAAATCGGCCTGACCTCCTCGTCATGATATTGACAGCTAAAATGTTCTGGCAGGATCGATTGACCGAGCCTCGACTTCGACATCCTCCTCTTGTCGCTCCGACTCCGCTGACCGGCATTCAAGATATCCCAGCCACCTTTCGTTCCTGAGTTGTGCTCTCCCTCGATCTCCCCAAGGCGTAATACCCGTCAAAATACTTCTGTGATTCGACGCCATGCCAGATACGGAGAAAGTAACCGCGGAAAACGTTGCGCAGATCCTTCAACATGACACAAAGGTCAAAGTGGCCGGCATCGACGTCGACGGCCAGCTCCGCGGCAAGCTAATGGCCAAGAAGAAGTTCCTCTCGATCGTCCAAGAAGGATTTGGGTTCTGCTCCGTTATATTTGGCTGGGATATGCACGACCGCACGTACTTCCGGGAACTAGGGATCAGCAACAAGGAAAACGGATATAGGGATATCTTGGCCAAGCCCGATCTGAGCAGTTACCGGCGTATCCCCTGGGAGGACGACGTTCCTTTCTTTTTGGTCACCTTTTATGATCCGGACACGAAAGCGCCCTTGTTTGCTTGCCCACGGGGGTTGTTGTCGACGGTGCTGCGTAAGCCGGCTGCGGAGGGGTACCAAGCGATGGCGGGAGGTAAGTGCAGCTAGCTAGGCTGGCTTTGCTGCACGAATGGAGCTGACGTAGCTGGCTTTTAGCGGAGTTTGAGTTTTATCAGTTCGCTACACCTAATCGGGATGCTTCAGCTACAGCTACCTTCTTGAAGGAGCACCCGGTGGAAACGTTGCCGTCGATCACAGAGGGGATGTTCGGATACAGTCTGACTCGGCCGATCCATAACCAGGAGTACTACTATGGAGTGTTCGATGCATGCGAGCAGTTCAACTGCGAGATTGAAGGCTGGCATACCGAGAGCGGACCAGGTGTATACGAAGCCGTGAGTGATTACGCTGGGTGGCGGCCTCTAGCCGTCTGTGCTGACCGAGGTCTAGGCTTTACAGTTCGGAGAGGCCAAGGGGATGGCGGATAAAGCGGGACTTTTCAAGTAAGTCTTGACTGGATCGGGGTTGCGCTGGGACACTGTTGACGGTGGCTTTTGCAGATATGTCGTCAAATCTATCGGCACCAAACATGGCATCACGCCCACGTTCATGGCGAAGCCGCGTGAGGGACTGCCGGGTAACAGTGGGCATATGCATATCTCTCTGGTGAACAGCGATGGGACAAATGCGTTCTTTCGGCCCACCCCAGACCCATCCCCGCCGTACCCTGATGTGGCCCATTTGTCGGACCTGGGGCGATACTTCCTGGCAGGAATCCTGACAGGCCTACCCGACATCATGCCGATGTTCGCGCCGACGATCAACTCTTACAAGCGCTTAGTGGAGAACTTCTGGGCACCGGTTACCGTGTCCTGGGGTCTGGAGCATCGGGCCGCCTCTATCCGTGTTATCACGCCGCCCACCGCCAGCCCCAAGGCTACCCGGCTGGAGGTCCGCGTGCCCGGTGCAGATGCTAATCCGCACTATGTACTGGCCGCTATAGTCGCATTGGGATGGCGGGGCGTGGAGAGAAAGCTTGAGATCCCTGTTCCGCCGCTATCGAAAGGACAGGACATGGGAGGGGAGAGTGATAAAGGGGTGCGGCTGGCCAAGAACCTAGGAGCTGCAATTGTTGCGTTCACGCGCAAAGACAGTGTCGCGCGGGAAGTCTTTGGCGATGATTTTGTCGATCACTTTGGCGGGTCCCGGGAGCATGAACTGCGCCTGTGGGAGGAAGCCGTCACAGACTGGTATGTCTTTCTAGCCTTGGGGAAAGAAAAAAGCTTATATGAAAGCACACTCTGACTGGACACTAGGGAGGTGAGACGTTATATCGAAACGGTCTAGATTAAGGGGTTTATATGCCAGGGAAATTTTAGAGCGCATGCAGCCAGTTGATCCGTTCGATCCCGATCCCTGGGACCTAGGGTCGGGATTGATCCGGGAGCTGGATATATGCTGACAGCGATGTCACATGTACATACTTGGTTTTGATGATTATTGCTGCTGTTGTATAAACGATTTCACATGCGATCCTGCTGTTGCTGAGCGACCGATCGGTTGATATGAAGAGCACACTTAGAGACCAAATGATCGAGGCCTTTTAGTTCCCTGTAACACAGTGCCAACTCAGTAACTTCTAGTGCTCGAAGAAGTGTACATAGAATAATTGTCGACCTCGGAAATTGTCGGTGTGCAGGATGGCTGGATATTATTATTCACCGTTCGTCCGTGCTCCAGGCAGTTGAGCAACCGCGGTTGTCTGGAGCTTGGAGCTTCGGGTGTGCGGGGAGTTCTGTTCCACCTCAACAGCTTCCCACTCGCCACCTCGGCATTTGCCATCCTGGGCTCTGGAGCTCGATCTGCTCTGGAGCTTTCCGTGTCTTCAATCTCGTATTCCGTATACAGTCGACTGTCCAGAAAACAGCAGCATTTAAAACGCCTACGGTCGGTAATGGTATCGAGTCAGTCGGGCGAGAGCTTTCGGGCGACGGCGGCGACCGGGACTGTCAATTCCTGTAGACCAGTTTAAGCTTAAGATTAAGGAAAATAAGGCCGAAACAGCTGCAGCCTGCAGCAGCGCAGCTCCGCAATCGGCCGAGACTTGCTGAGTCATCTGACTTTCCCGCGGACAAGTCCCGTGACCGACTTCCCCATCGGGCAGATCCGTTCATCCTGACGCTTTCGACCTCAGCGATGCCCATCTGGGTGGCTCTGAATGGCTCTGGATCGTCCAATTCCTATCGTCACTGCTCCATCCATGGAGCCCTTCTTCGCTTCCCCGTGCTGCTGCTTGCCTGGACCGCGGTTGTACTGTACCCAAGTGACGTAACTCCATACGCTCCTGCCGAAATGCCTGTTATCGCTGGCTTCATATATATAAGTCCGGGTCTAGGTTCGCCCCCGGCCCCTGGTCTCGCTTTTATTTTCTTTTCTTGATACTCAAACCGAAACTTGCTCTCCTTCCCCGCCTCGTCCAGAACCGTAACGATAAGAGAGTCAATTCACACAATGTCGCAGATCGACGTACAGACCAAGGATGTTGCCATCCTCGGCAACGTGAGCGCTGAAGCTCGCAAGATTCTCACCAAGGAGGCCTGCGCTTTCCTGGCCATCTTACATCGCACATTCAACCCAACCCGCAAAGCTCTCCTTCAGCGTCGCATTGACCGCCAGGCCGAGATTGACAAGGGCCATCTCCTCGACTTCCTCCCAGAGACCAAGCATATCCGTGA